ATGTACAAATGCGCTTTACACAATTGATGTGTGTATGGATTGCGATAACAGTTGTATGAGCCCCTAATAAAATGTTTTTTTTAAAAAAAGAAAGACAAAAAATATATACACAATTACTCTCTTATTTATATAAACCTCTCTTTTATACACATATGAGTGTCTATGAATTTGTTTGTCTCGTCCACCCAGACTAACACAACCATCAAAATGAAGAGCTAAATATTATGGTTTGAATTGTGTCCCCTCCCCCAAAGTATGGGTTGTAGATTCTAACCTCTATGGTCATTGGGAATGGGTTTTCTTCGTTATGATAATGATGCCCTGTAGCATGTGTCTTGAGGCCATCACTTTTGCAATAGAATAGAGATCAAGCAGACCATGGCAGTGAGCAGGCAGAGATGAGGGAGAGAGAGTGTGCAGCCACTTGGAGATCTCCCAAGTAACAGAAACCAAAACTGGACAAGGACTCCCCCCACCCCTAACCCCCAGAGCCGACAAAGAGGAAAAGCCTGAATTTGGACTCTCTGTAACCTAAACTCTGAGAAACTAAGTAGCCGTTTGTTAAAAATACCCACGTGTGGTATTTCTCTTATAGCAGCCTTGGAGAGCTCAGACATGGGAAGTAGGAAAGATAAGATGCTGGGCAGTACTGTTAGTTAATCTCCATGTGACTTGGCCCATACTAGCACTGCCACAACACACTCCCAGGGCACATTCACATGGCGAGTAAGTGTTTGGCCCCTAACCAAAAGGTTAGTGGTTCAAACCCATCAGTCACTCTCCAGGAGAATGGTGTGGCAGCTTGCACCTGTAAGGATTTAAAGGATGCTGCTCTGTATGCATACAAATTGACCGATGGCCACCGTGCAGGTTTAGTTTGGGTAGCGCGAATGGTGCCCCCTAGAGCATAACCCAAGGTCAGCTTTCAACACATGTGACCAGCACCCCCTTGAGGTGTACCATGGTTCCTACTATTCTCCCCTCCCTTCAAATTCCTCTCCACAAGACTGCAGTCTAAATGAGTTTAAGACGCAAAGCCCACATGGAAGAAGCACACCAGCCTGTGTGACCACGAGGTGTCGAAGGGATCAGGTATCAGGCATCAAAGAACAAAAAATCATATCATTGTAAATGAGGGTGAGTGCAGAGTGGAGACCCAAAGTCCATCTGTAGGCAACTGGATACCCCCTTACAGAAGGGTCGCGGGGAGAAGATGAGTCAGTCAGGGTGCAAGGTAACAATGATGAAACATACAACTTTCCTCTAGTTCTTAAATGCTTCGCTTTCCTCTAGTTCTTAAATGCTTCCTCCCCACACTATCATGATCCCAATTCTACCTTACAAATCTGGCTAGACCAGAGGATGGACACTGGTACA